CTCATGTTATCACCACAAGTGTCAACCAAGTCCGCCGCGATTCGGGCTGAGGAACCGGCCCGTTTATTTTTTCATCTGGGTTGGTTTTAAAGGGGGTGCTTCGGGTGCACCCTGGGCCATGCCCGAAAGGTCAACCTTGCCCGGAATGAGTATTACGGGCGTAATCCGCGCACGCTCGCACACATCCGAAGTATTCCGTTCACCCCAAGCGAAGAGTCCTATTGTGACCAAATTCAGGGACTTTGAAAATTCACCGCAGTCTGCACTCAATGCCTGAATTGTTAATATACTCGGTAGATGATTTTCAGATGTTGCCGAAAATTCAGATGAGTTGTGAAGTCTGGAAACCAGACATTGGTTGTCGTAGTTTAAGCCGTAGATTAACAGCAGATAAAGAATGCTCAATAAAGCGATGAAGAATTATATGCTATCCTTACGCCTTCAATGTTTCTATATAAAACAACCAATGAAGCCAACCTAACCATCTAAAGACTTGAATTTAAAGGAAATTAGATTCTTCGAGCAATAACTTATTAGGGTCTCAGTTGAATCAACCGTGGTAGGAAATGAGGAATGGGGCAAGATTGGCCGAGGCTGGCACAATATTGGCCAGCACCGGGCCATCCTCGGCCTATCTTCAGCCTTTTCGGAATCCCGTTGATTTCATTTTTTTTTGTAAAATTTGAATTTGCCTGTTTTTTCTCCCAAAATGGAATTTAATTTCGTTCTCATGAAAATTGCAACGCAACTATTCATGAAATTTCAATTTTTTTAAATAGTGTATCACTAAACATTTTACGACTCACCGAATCGGTTTTTTCGTTGAAGGGGCTGTAGACCTCATGTATCAGGATAGTTCCAGTGTGAGTTCAAAGTATACCTATTCTTTTTTTTTTGATTTTTTTGTTTTTACACATACATATTTTCACTCTCCTGGGACTTCAATGGTGGACAAGTTGGAGACAATACTTATATGACCACGCGCAGAATAGGTATATCAATTTTTTCCTATAATATTCTCCCGTTGACTTACGTTGAAATTATCTTCCTTCGCCTACGGTGTAAGTGATGGTTGACTATCGTACCCCGTCAACGTTGGAGAAAAGTTACTACATTATAGGGATCTTTATTTCTGCGTCTTATGATGTAATATTGGCCATTGACCCTTCTGGCGAAACAGGCTCCTTCAAGGATCGCACCAAGGATTGAGAGGAATCTACGAGTGAGGTGTAGACAAGTAAAATATTGCCCTTGCCGGCATATTTCTAATATATTTCCATGATTTAAATAATTTCCATGAATCTATGGAAGACTGTGATTATAGTTTCTAGATTAGATGATTGACTGACTGTAGTACCTCATTAAATGTTACTGATTAATGCCAACGACTGTTCTACGTCAATGAATGAAATAAATTAGGTGAAGATAATATACAAGGATATTCAATAAAGTGAATTGATTGAAAATCCTGATGGAAAAAAATAATAAACGTACCGATAAACCAAACAAACCAACAAAAATCAATGGGCAATCAATTGAATGATGACGACAAAATCACAGTAACGGTTTATATGATATTACTTTCCTAGTATAATTTTTCGGTTTAGTAATTCGTGCAGATGCTGAATGTATTACACCTGCTTTGCCGTAGGGGATCTTTGCATCTCTGGGTATAATGCTATTCTAATTATTCTCTTTGTATTCCTTGGAGGATTGCGATAAAAATACATAACGTACTGTATATTGTACACAAATCTGATTACATTATTTAATTGTAACTTATCAATTAAAGTACAAAATAATATGCAACATGAGTATAACAAAATTATAATAATCATACTTCAACACTGCGACTTTTGTTTAAGTGGACTATTTATTTGTAATCGCAGTTTTGAAAAAAAAACATTGACACAGGCAAATACACGGATATATGTCCGAAACATTATGTCCGAACATTTCAGACCATTCGACATTGTGTAGATAAAAAATCGAATATTGTCACAATTTTAAATCGTTCATTTCGACGCAAAAAAAACATCATGAAGATATTTCGCCATTAGTTGCACGAACCATCGTGATACTGAATTGAATTGGATTGTCCCCAAGATATACTTTTTTCATTAATTAGTCAAATGGAGAACGAGATGATCTGAATGGAATTGGTCATCGGGGCCATGCACTGGCGCCTCGATGAATCTTAATTACCCTGTAATTAAGTTAATTACAAACGAAGGCCACAGCTTTTCGCCCTTTTACTCGCAAATGGGCATGTAGTTAATCCTCACTATGCTTTGCTTATAAGAAGATACCTTTCAAGTTCCCTCTCATGAGAGGTCGTATCTCCTTCGACCTTAACCAAGGATTTCCACCCAGTTCCCAATTTATCCCACCAACTGATATTGAAACTCACCTTCCTATTCATCAATGAATACTGTCTGCATTTGCTTCTACTAATGATCATTCCCGAATTGGCCATTAAAAGGACGAAACGCCGGGGATTTTAATGAATTAGATTCTCATGTTAACTTCAATGAGACACTCCCTGTCTACTTTCAGTTGCATTTGTGACCAGACAATCCCGCAAGCACTACCGCCACCGCACAATGTTTTATCTCCATCCTTTCTCGGTTGCTGAAAATAAAATAAAATCGGTGAATCGGCGACTATATCTTCGGTATTCCGTTCAAACTCAGCTGATTTTCTATATAAATAGTTAGCAGTAGGATGTATTGAGTTGTTTTTTCAAAAAGTTTATTTTCATTAATGCATTCGCAATCGAGACATCACAAAATTTCCATGGATTTGCTAAAGTAGAAAACGCCCTGGCTTGCCATTGGGACCCGTCGTACAGCTTTCACAGGAAATCTTCTTGTACGTTATTTTGTTTGAGACTCGATACGATCTTCAGCGGAATAGGGGTAACCCTTTTGTCCCAAATTTTTGGTAAATCGTTTGATCGGCTACTTTCCACTAGCTGAGGTTATTCATTTATTTTTTTTCCGGCAAGAAGATTCTTATTGAAATGTCAGGAGAATTGTTTTCACTTTTAATTATTCAGCAGTTACTTCTCAGCTCAAAGCCAGATGAACTGTAACGAGTTTTCTTCAACGGTAATGAATGTTACTTTCATTTTATTTTCCATGTGGAGTCTCTCGATCGGATTCCCTGGAGTAATTGGAGAATTAGCGAGTTCGCGAGTTTGTTATTTATTTTAGTCATTGGAGATAGTGATTGGTTAATTACTAGTTGCATGATTAATAGCCCAGTTTCATTGAACTTCAGTGATTTCTTAATTGTCAATTGAGAATATGTAGCTCGAAATTTCGGATTACACATTCGTTTTGACTGTATCACGCTAATTCAAGATTACAAATTAATTTTCTCGTTACCCACATAGTTGAAGTTCTGGGAAATTAGTGAACATCTCATCAAATCTCATCGCGGAACAGTTAGATCACGCGATAGTTTCATCAGCGTGGAAACGAATAGTGTTAAAAATTGTTGATTCAAGATTTGAATGGATTTTAATTACTCATCTTGCCGCAATCATGGATGTGTTTACTTCTATCGTGATGCCTCATGAACGAGATGTTTATCATTATCGAGTAATTTCATGTGGTGAATCTAGGTTGCCTCTTTCGTCGAAGTCGGTTCACACCTCGGATTGTCATATCCGTGTAATATGTGTATTAAAGATGTCCAGTTTTCTTTGCATCGCCGTCTGAATTCACAGGGGTTTTATATCTTGATAATTCTTAGCCGAACTATTAGAACACGCGTGAATGCGGAATTGACTCGTCATTGAGCTCTATCTGCATGCTTCATACCTTCTTTATATTCTACAACATTCGAACACTACAAGAAATAACTTTTACATATACAAATGATAACATGTTTCATATCTAAATCACACAAAAGAGTACTTTGATAACCTAGGGAGATAAAATAAAGGAATCTTATCCACGTCTGGAATTACCAACAGAATCGAACTCGAAGTTGATTAGCACATGGGGGAAAGCTAACTTTCCGCCTTCGTCGTAGCGGAAAACAATGGTTCTGTTGGATATCATCAACGCGGTTGACTCAAAAACTTGAAAAATACGAGGACCGATCCCTTGGGGTTGTAAATCCCAGGTACACCAGAACTGCAGCTTGCCAATGAGTATCCAACGATTGAGAAGGGAACGTAAACCGTCTCAATGTATGTGGGGAAGAAAAAAGAATGAGGGCGTTTTAAATGAAAAATAACCGTTTCCCTAAAACACCTTAAATTTAATTACACAAAAAAAATTGATTGTTCAATGATGACACAAATGGTGACACAAATGGTTTCACAGAATTTACATTGTCTATTGAGAATTAATTAATATTGCACTTAACAATTCGATAGTAAAAATAATTGCACTTGAAAGTTTATAGAAAATAATTGCACTTCAAAATTTAGAGAAAAACTGTTAACTAAACTGAAGATGATTTGAATAACTTGAATGTTTAAACTTGGATAAAGATGAGAGGCTCAATGAGAAAACGGTCTTCACTGGCCCTAGTCTCGAAGGGTACTAACTCTAAAAATGGAGAGAAAATGTAAAGTTCTCTAGTTATTTTTGGGAAGGGATGTGCAAAATCTTATTGGCTAGGTGATATTGCTATCTTAAAAGTA